TAGAGTATTTGAAAATTTATATTTGAAATGACACTTCATAGCAAACACTGCTGGTGGCTGTATGAGAACAATGCACCGGATAGTCTCATTTTGTGGTTCAGCTGCTCAATCAATTGGGAAGTGCTTAGAAATATTACTGATTAATCAATTATACCCCAGCGGGTGAGCGAATAGATAGTAGAACTCGTCAACCCTCAGAATTACTATACAGACAACGACGGTTTAGACGCATACTCCGGAAACCTTGCACTCAAAGTTCTATGATAAAGAGGTTGTAATGAAAGGTCATCTGAAAGATATTCATTTGCAATCAAGGAAAGAAAAACTTAATCTTAACTTAAATGTGTCAGCGAGAGTTGTCCAATCCGGGACATAATGATTCTGTGTTTGCTCCGTCAACGATAAATCTGAAAGCAGAGTCAGCGCTGTAAATTTATAGGCTCTCTTATGAGTTTTTTTTCTATTGAAGCCGAATGGAGCTGTATAAACGATCCTGTGCCGTTGTTGCTCTGTGTTCCACCAGTTCCGTGAAGTGATAGTTTCCGCGTTGTCGCAGCTCGGCAATGTAACAATTCCGTGTTGCCTTAGTTGAATCACTAAACGGAAAACAGTTTCGCACGGCATTTTTCCCAAACTTCAAATAGATGCTCATTAAAATTAGCAAATTCCAATCGATGTTTTCTCAGAACTGCTCGCCAAATTACCTTTGAGCCAATCATTTCATTGCGATATTTTGTGTGAATTGCTGTAAAATCGGCGTCAAGTCATTTCAGTGGCACGTGGTCCATTTGGTGAGGAACAATGGGGACATTTCTTCATTCTTCCGTGCTTCACGCTACTCGATTCGTTACGGTGTTGATGGCTTATAAGACTGGACACTCGACTGAAGTCATTGTGACACTATTGACTGCGAATTAGTCGAAATGCTAGCCATTAAAATTCTAGCAACCTTGTGTATGCTCACCAATAAAGCAAGATGTTGCTAGCTCAACGCAAAGCTCGGTAAGGATTGGAATAGAAAATTGTTTGTCGTTTGAGAGCAGCACAACGCAAAATGTAGGTAGGCCTCATTTTGTGATTTCAGCTGCTTAAACGCTTTGAAAAAATAAAAACTTAGACGCACAGCGTAGTATTCGCTTAAACAGATGACCGCTCATTAGCTTCTTACACCTGTATAGTTAATTCACAAAACTTTTATATATGAGACGACGGCTTAAGCGTGTCACTACTAGACACTTCACTCAAAAAACCTACAGAAAACTGCTTGTTATTTCGAGCGTTTGAATAGACTTCTACTCAATTGGCGACGTTGCAAAATGGTACCGAAGGCCAAGCTCATGATGTGCTGCCCTTCTTCTCGTTCCTCATCTGCTAAAAACGATATCCAAAATATGTATCAAACAGTAGTAAGTGTATGCACAATACAATAAGAGAGAAAGGGATTGTTACACTTAGCCTGACATGTAACCAATCAAATACTAAGGCGAATAGCCACTAAAGTCAGGTGAAAAAGCCGGTAAAAATTTCTCAACAGAAACAGCAGCATGCTGAGTGAAATAACTAAGTTACCACGAAACTACCTTACATGACTAACAAAATAGGTGCCATTATTAAAAGATATCTAAAACTGTGGTCTAGAAAGATCTTCAGGGAATGTGGGACCCATTACAATACGTCGTCAATTAGTTCGAAGCACCTGTCTTGTCATTTGCATGAAATGAGTGTGAGATATGCCCTAACGGCAGAGACGGAGATAATATGAATACACATATAATATATAGCAACGGGAACTGGTCCTCCGCTGCTATTGAGTTGGATGTGCTGAATGCTTGCCACTAACGGCTGTTACTGCTGACGCGAGAAGAATACTAGATTTATTATAGACAATATCAAGACAACCTGAAATATATATATATATATATATATATATATATATATATATATATATATGTATATATATATATATATATATATATACAATAATAACATAACAAGAGCACAAAAAACAATAGCGACGCATAATCGTGACTTCAATAATGGAGACATATGATGAGTAGTCTGCGGGCCGGACTGGGCGGTGGACCTCGGGAAGCACTTATGCTTGCCCCGAGCAGACCTGTACACCGAGGGTGGGACCAGTGGGTGATTAAATTTATTAGAAAATTGTGCGCCTGTATGCAAGGGCTGGACGCATCCCCGGTGGCGGGCCAAACAGAACCCCAAAGGACTTGGTCCACCGCCGTAGCTCCAAGCTCCGCTCACAGAGTATAAGCGGGGTCCATGGACTATGTGGGCCACATGCACAGTAACGAGGGCAGAGTCAGAGGTTTAGAGTCAGGCAGAAGCGGAGAACTAAGGGGACAAAGGTGGCGGAGTAATACAAGAGGACACGACCGATCAGGACGCCAGCACAAGACGAAACTGACGGCCACTCCGCAGAAGTGGGCGGCACTGACCGCCGCCCCGCAGGAGCGGGCGGCGCTACCATTGGCTGGGTTTCGCAGCGATGTTCCTGGCCATGGTATCTTCCACGATCGCTCTCAATTGCTCAGAGAAGTAGCGACCGTTCCGTGGAACGTTTGCTACATAATATACATTATTTCTTGTAAGCTGTTTTTAGCTCTGAAAAAAAAGAAGATTCGAAGTTCCAACCTACGTCAACGATCGAAGGTTAAAGACTCCGTTCTATACCCCAGGGTGTCGAGAATAAGGTGAGCTGGACATGTGATGCGCTTCAACTACAACCGATGGACAAGAGCCGTTACCGACTGGATACCTCGGGACGTCAAGCGCTCTAAAGGATGACCACAGACCAGGTGGTCCGATCTCCTCGCGAAAGAATAGAAGAAAGATATAATGCTTAACGAATCCCTAGAGCGAGGAAACCCACTGGGTTACTCTTGCACGCGACAGGGAAAAATGGAAGTGTTGCTGGTACTCGCTCGAGTCACTCGACGATCAACGAGAAGACAGGTGATGCAGGTGGTAGGTGAAGTTTATATGTCAGATTATCCATTATATGCATCCATTATATAAAAAGTGATTTGTCACAAATAAACCTTTTTAAATGTCCTGAATATGAGGAGTGGTAACTTCTTTTGAAATCCTTCATTTTTAACGGTAGTACCAAGCCTTTCCAAAAAATGAACAAAATTTTAATTCGTATTGTGCATCTGTATCGTCTATCTTGCGAGAACGTGGGTTGAAAGCACATTTTTCGCAACGAAACATTTCTAATAGAGGTCTATGTGGAGATGATTCTAATATGCAGCTCGAGTAAGTGTAGGAAAGGCGCGCGTCTATCACTGTGTTTGGTACGGTATTTGTTATGTATTTTTCGCCCATAATGCCACTGTCCATAAATATCAATATTTTCTCACTTACGCCAGCTCTGACTAATTGGAAATAAGCGAATAATTGTTATGAACCTAGTTGTAGTACGAGTTTTCAATGAACAGTTATGGAATGCAGCATGCGTCATACTTTTCGATAATTTACTAGCTGTTCTCCAGCTTTTATTTACTTTGATTAGTGCTGTTTTTTGTGCAAAACTAGGGAACAGCAAAACTATATATTTTCTTTGTGATTCCCTTTGTACAATGCAATGCGATTGGTCGAATGCCAAATTCAGAGCGATTGCGTAGTAAACGAAAGTTTTTCTCTACAGAAGACACGTATAACTGAGCAAAGAGTATCCAGTAGAGAAAGCATTGTTCTATTAAATCAATACAAGAATCATGGTAATTTTTGCCAAATGAAGAGAAAAAATCTCAATCAAACAACAAAAACCGCGTAGTTCGCTCTGGGCACCAGTTTCTATAGCCGTTCGTTAGGGGTTAAACTTATAAGCTCACAGTCCCTTGGATATCCTTTTTGTACTTCGGTGAGGTTTGTGCGAAATTTTGGATCACTCTTTCGCTGTTTTTATACTGCTTTTCAAATCAAAATTATATGCAACATTATTTTTTGGATAGGACTAAAAGGAAAGATCAACAACGTATAGATGACTTGTTACTGGCGCTGATATGCTCGTCACATTGTTTCATTGTATAAAATATTCTCCTCATCAGGGCATCAAACGGCGCAAAGTCCAAAATTACTTTGCTATCACAAAAAGCCCCTTAAAGAATGATCATCAATTCCATTTGTAAATTTCACGAAAGCTGGATTGAAATGACGTAAAGAGAAACTACTAGAGACAGTCTAAACACACAAAAATTAGTGATTTCGCAACTTTTGTAAAAAGAGTGCTTTATCACACCATTTGGTGAGCAGTCATCAATTCGTATCACAGAACAGACTATGTGACAAATCCATATTTCAGCGTCTACTGCCCTGTGCAGAACTCTTGCTCCAACTAAATCCGAATTTATGTCTGAAGTCTACTTCATTATAAAAACGTGGAAACTAAATTCAAGAACGTCAAGGCCACCTACCCAGAGGCACTCACTGAATGTATGGATTTTCGTATGGTTTAAAGCACATTCTATTGAACACATGGTTTTGAAAATCCTTTCTACATTCGGTCTCATGAAGCGCTACTGCAACCCAATAGTATTCGCCTGTTCTGAGTTCCCAGAAGTTATTCCCTCAAATGTTCGCAAAAAATTTAACCATGTGGCTCAAAGTTTCACTCTTGCGTTGTTGATATCCTAGCAAGTTCGGGCACTAACATGTACACCCAAATGTCGCTGATAGGACTCGCAGTCCTGAGTGAGTGAGTATCTTTCCAGAACCTTTGTAAGGAGAAGGGGTTGCTGCAAAATTCGAATTAGTTTAAATAGGTAACAAATGGGCAATCAGTTTCTTGGTCTTTCTGTGTAATGAGCAGCACCAATTTTGAATTAGGAATTATGACATTCAAGCTGCTGTTATGACTTTCTTGTTATATCAAATGTTTAAAGAGTTATATGAGTTGCAATATACCCAATGGTGAAGAGTGCTGTGCAAAAACGTTTGCGTCAGCCGGGATTTGAACCTAAATCTCATCCTTTGCGGGAGCGCCAGTGGTGCAACGGTCAGCATACGCTCCCGGAAAGAGTAAGATCTGGGTTCAAATCCCGACCGACGCAAACGTTTTTGCGCAGTACTCTCACCATTGAGTATATTGTAACATCATAACACCGCAAGTGGAGGTCAAATAAAATCATTTCTAGCTATATGAATTTTGCAGAGTTTGCAGTAACGAGTCAGTCTATTTCCTAAATTCATGAGGGAGTCTCCATAGTCGTAGTCTTTGTCGACAACTAAATTTGAAAGATTTAGCATTAATTTTAATTTGTAAAGGAATCTGTAAACTAGATCTTGATTATCAGTCTCCTAATTAGTCCATCCTTATATTAAAGAGCAATTCAATATGGACAGTTAGATCTCAGGATGCAAAATGGTGTCTAAGAGGATTCCGGGATGAAATTTCCAATGTTTTGTTCATTGTTCGGGCGGTTTTTCGACGCCCTTCTTTCTAAATGACATTGCCTCACCGGAGGACGCCCCTAGTTCTTCCAAATCAAACGCGTCAAAATTGTCGAAAGAGCCGACCTAGAATAAAAGCTTATGACAGACAGGCAATTTACCTTGGCAAAATTTGCCTAGAACAAGCAAGAAACTTTCTGCATCAGATCACGATAAATTTAGTAACTTAAGTTGATATACTAGTAAGTAAACAAGAAGGTTAGCAACCTCACAATCATGCAAGTACTGTGTATATGATTTTCAATCAATAAGAAATAACGATTATTAAATAGTTATGATCTATGTAATATTGTTAACTGGGATACATAAGTATCTCACTAGTTTTTAAGTCTTGCAATACACAAGAGATCGCTCTTTTGGTCCCGCACCTTGGAGGAGCAAACGTTCCACCATTTCAAGGATGGCAACTTGGTAAGAGACTTGGTTAGGAGGTAAAAAAACACTACTCAGAGAATCGGTAGATTTCGAAAGTTATTTCTGGTCCAATTACTCGTTTTATCACCTCTACGATGGAGTTGAATTCACAGTGTATCTTCAAGAAATCATCGGCATCTTTCCATTTAACGGCTATTCCCTCGAGTCTTGATAATGACAACTATAGGGCAAATTGTAAAACGACGACAAGCTGAACCTGACTCTGTTTCCCACGGTCAAAAGTTTTCTTATTACTATTGATTTTAACTAGATGCTTCAACTTTTCGCGTTTTATATTTTACTTCTTGTTTTCGCAATCGTGTGAAGTGTCGAAAAATTCTTAACGCAATAAAATTTGGTGAATGGCTGTTATTTCACAGATGAAAGCAATTTTCATAATTTCCTAAAGTTTTGATCAGACCTAACATTCTCTTTTGGCAAAAGCTAATGAAATGAAACATGGAAAGTGGACTAAGTAGTTCGATGAACAAGTGAATAACAAACATAATAAAAATTGAGCGAGTTATTGGACTGTTTTATTTTGGCGCCAAGAGAAGATTTGCAGTAAAAGAGTAAGGTTTCATTAGTTTTCCCAACAATAAAAAACTTTCCTGATAATTTCTGCAGTTGCCATTATGATTTTTCCTATGCATGTACTTTCGTAGGATTACCATAACTTCGGATAAGTCATCGACACCATCACGGCTAGCACTCTTTTGTTCTTCTTGTCTAAATGCAGACGACAGCCTGATGATTCTTGCCATTGGTGCAGCTTTCGGCAAATCAAATATTCCTGCCTGACTAGGTTTTGAACGCAGTCTCTGGAAAAACAAGTGACAAATTCTACCAGTAAATTTTCTCACCAATTTCCGACATTCTTGTCATGAAAATAATTTTTGGTTCATAGAAACGATTAATTCGCATTTTAAGTAGCGAACTTTTTTTGGAGTGGTACTGCTCCTTCTCTAATTAAAAATAGAAGATTCAAACAAAGGTTATTTAGAAAATCACTTTGTTGCTTGTTAACTTCAAAGGCATGCAATGCAGTTTTTTCTAGTATAAGCCGTAGCTATAATGCAAAAAATAAGTAATGCATAACAAGTTTTGAAATAATTAGCCATAGAACAAAAATGACACGGATATGTTGAGGTTACACCTGGTACCAGCTGATCCTTCAATTCTTTGGCCATCTACCATGTTACTTGCTAACACCAACAAAATCAGTAGAGCGATCATTCGCTGCAACGTGGAAAATCACCGAAACTCACTGCTGTTTTTCACCTTGCAGCGTCCACAGAAAGTATTGGAGGAGAACACTCCACAGCTTCAGAAAAAGAAAAAGAGAACAGCTTCGAAAAGAATTCAATAAAAGAAACATGTTATAATGTAATCCCATATAAATGCAATCTAACATTAACTATGATTGCTGAGTAGCACTAAAAAATTTTATAAATCATCTGTAACATCAATGATCTGTTGACCACGCTAAGATGGGCGGCGTAGTGAGTTTAAGAGCGAAATCGAACTGAAAACCATGTGTGTAGTACACGGCAATGAAGAATTTGAAAACATACTTCACCTGTTCGATAAACACCTTATCAGAAACTTGAAAAACTGTAAAGATGACAAATCAGCTAGAACTCAGTGGTACTACAATTGTTCCCTTATTTTCAGTAGGACAAAATTTTGACTAATTCCAATTGGAAACAAAGTTGTACTACTTCACTTCACTACTCCGGTCAGAAAGAAAACTCTGAGGCACTTTAATAATCATGATATATATTATGGAAATATTACAGTTTCCTATGTGGGATTTTCCCACCAAAGACCTAGATATTATTTGTCTTTATTTTCACTATGTCACAAGACTCCGTCATATCCAACGACACGATCTGAGTTCGTGTTTTATCGCGTTATTACTGAGGAAAGGGTCTTTTACAGCGACCTGCACTCGACGAACTCCAAGAAATTGAAGTAGAAGACACAACAAGCAAATATGCTGCTGGACGCTGATTTCAACCATTTAATGCCAGTTCTGCATATCACTCTACATCACTGGGTATAGTTATCATTGTTCTTGTTTGGGAACAGTGCACAAATCTCATTTTTTACAATTACCCGAGTACTTTCTCTCCAGCATAATGAAAACCGTTTATGGAATGATCCGCGAAATTTGAGGCCTTTCCGATCAGTTGTGGAAAACATTTCACATTAGAAACATAAAGTCACTCATTTGCACTAAGCGAAGGGTTATAAGATCTGTAACTGAATCTCTCCGTCCAAATCTCACATTGCCGTAGAGGAGATGGGCGTCTTTATTGTAATTAACCGTGAATAGCAAAAAAAAAAATGATTATCATACGACATAATCTATGAAACTGATTGGTTTCTTTGCATTCCGTCTCAGAAAGCCGGACATTTCGCCTGATATCTCGAGTGCTGCATGAGGACTTCGCCACTTTGAATGTCGCAGGTTGCTGGTGAAGTCAAATATTTTTTCCAATCTAGACTGTAGTCTGACCAAGGCATTTTCTGAACAATTGCAAGAGAAGGTGGTGGACGGGTTCGCACCAACGACTGTTTCGTGACAACTTCAAGATCAGCTGCACCACTAACTACTCAACCGCCTGTCCCCTAAATCTCCCTAATAATAAGAATACTAGTATCAATTAAGCTAGGCGAGAAAATGAAGATCCACCTGGAGTGTAATTTGATTGAAATGAATAAAGAATTTGTGCACAAAAACAAAGATGAAGATGGTCTGCAACTATCGTGAGTAGTCTAAGATCAACATACGACGGACAAAAAATAAAATGACGTCGAACAAGCCTATTTTCGTGAAATTGAAAGCTGCTAGTGACGATCATGGAACCCGTTCTAGTGTTCAGAGAATAAGCTGGAGCTTGCTTTGTCGCGGCTTGAACACGCATTTGAACAGATAGTGATATGGTTGACACTTATGCAGCTATGCAAGAAGATTTCCTCTAGTAACTGATTTCGCAAAACTGAATGAAGCAAAAATGAAGCATCACTACCAGTTGATAAAAAGTGACTGCTGTGATAGATTTCAACAGATTTTGAAAACGTGAACCATACTAAAATGCCATTTTTGTTCAAAATACATTTATTAGAATTACGTGTAACGAATGAGTAAGTATCCAACGCTGAATGTCCAAACTTGTGGACAGTTTAAAGCAAGGAATTTATTGTCGTCACTGAGTTCGTAGCTTTTTGGGTCTAGATGGTGTTTCTCTTTAATGCCGTTGATGAAAGTAGCATTCCAAGAGCTGGTTGAAAAAGTCAGAATTTATGAAGGACTGACGTTGTGCTGAGTGAAATTTGTGATGCATGGTGGTTCTAACAAAGAGAGTTAAAAAATCGTAGTCCCAATGCTGCCATAATTTATATGCTTTTAAATTCAAGTGTGAATTTAGCCCGATAATTGATTATGTTAAATTTTATATGACCGGGGCTGAATACTTGAGAGCGTGAAGGGCCTATATTGGGAGTTCACAGAAATTTGCCAGTGAAAGTCGACAATTTCGAAGCTCCTCCAAACCGCGTATGGTAGTGATTTAGTACTTTCAAAAGCATAGGAGACTTTGATCGCCAGTCCGATATGAAGAAGTACTGGAGCATGCCCATCATGTGGGAGCAGCTGTTTTACAGATACATGAGTGCAGCGGTATAATAAATAATGACGATGGAGATTAGAGTCCCAGAGTGAAAAAAATAGTGATTAGCCATTGATTCATTTGTGATTGCATTTCCACTAGCTGCATGGATCAGTGGTTAGAGGTGCAGCAATCTGTTCATACATCTTAAACACCTCAAGCTGTTCAAGTGGTTGGCACAAGCCTGAAGCCATTCATTTATTCGTAAATTTGATTTACTTTATTTTACTTATTCTTTCTTAATACTTATATCTTCTTCGGTTATGCCGACGAGGGAGCAGGTTGTTATCGGTCGATACGCATCTGGGAAGGGTCCCACTGTAGGTTTTCCTCGGTTCACGAAAATTTTTGATGGCACAGAATACTACGTGTTACTTATTACTGCTATTTCCAGCCAAGAAAGATTCTAATGAGCTGTGCTTCAAGTACGATCCAGAGTTGAATGGAGTTGGATATCGCTATTTTGAGCCTCTTTTGAGTGATTACACTCATGTCACTCTTATGACTAGCAA